TGTGTGTGTGTGTGTGTGTGTGTGTGTGTGTGTGTGTGTGTGTGTGTTTCTCATCCCTTTTGGCCCAAGGGTTTACAAGTGAGAATTTACAAATCTTTTTTAAATAAAGCTTTATTAGACCACAGACCTGTTCATTTGTTAACACATTGTGTAGTGATGTGAGAGAGCGATTCCTCACAGTTAACTAGTTGCCAGGAAGACCTCCACAGCTCATAGCCAAAAATATTGACTAGCTCACCCTTTCTAGAAAAGGGTGTCACACTCTCCTAAGCCAAATTCCTCTCTACAGTTTCTATATCTCTTAGCTCTGAATTTTTAAAGTAGAATCAATTATAATATCTTATTTACACTCAAATTAATTAATTCTTATCTCTGAGACTATGCTCATCTACACTTCCTACCTCCAAGTATCAAGTCAATTGCCACCAATACCAACATTCACTGAGTAATGTCCCTGATACTCAGTATATTGATTTGTTTAATTTTGTAACCATGTTGTGAACCAGGGAGTCATATTGTTCCCATTTTACAGAGGAGATAATGAAGGTATAGCAACATAAATGCACATAGCTAGGAAGTAGCAGACGTCACTGCTGGCTCTAGGAGATGTGGGTCTCAGCCCCTGTACACTCAGCCCTGAGCAATCTTGCATTCTCTGCGATGGTATCTTTCCCTGCTGCACCCCCAACCTTTGTGTTCCCAAACCCTTCCTCCTTCCTGACTGCAGCCTCAAAGAGAAGGCTCCTATGTGCTCTCCTCTGCCCGCTAAGAGATCACACTGTCAGCAAAGGAAGCCAAAAATTTATCCAGGTCTTTTCCTAGAATGACCCACAGTGGGCATCGGCCTAATTTACCTGCCTGTGGACCATTTAACTTGGTCTCTGTTAGAAAGAAACCATCCTGCACATTCAGTGTGAGACCTGGTCGCCTGTGTGGAGACTCTCCCATTGGCACGAGCCACCCCTCTCTCTGCTTACACTCCTGAGAAAAGAAAGATTTCCCACACATGGTTCTGCCCCATATAGGAGTCGGGGGTGGGGGAGTTAACCTCAGTGGGCTTCACCTGGGTGATTTCTTTTAACCAAAATGTAGCCTTCTACCCAGAACTTGAACTGACTTGAAGCTCTGTGCAATTCTAATGAATTGAAACAAGAACTTGAGAGACACAGGATAGATTTCCAACACTTTGACCATACGCCCAAGGCTGGAAAGAACTGTCAATTTCCTTCACAACTGCCAACAAATCTATTTTATACATAACTATGTGGGAGCTCATTAAATTATACAGAGCAAAATCTGCATGGGGAAATCACTGTCTTCTTATAGAACTTGACTGACATGGTGCTCAGAGTGAGAGGTGGCAATACATACCCACACCGTCCTGTCTTGAGTCTCGTTTTCTTGTTCCAGGCAGTGTGTTAAGGACTTTAGGAAGTTTGCCTCACTCGGTCCACACTATTGCTCAACTGAAATGTACCATTACAATGAAGGTTAAAAAAAAATGGAAATTCCAAGAGTTTATCACAGCTGATTTAAACAATAGGTGTCTTATTCATAATTTAACTGAAAATAAACCTTTTAGCTCTTTTATCTACCACCTGAAAATGCAGTGTAGCACACTAACCTTTCCCTTCTAGAATCCTCTGGTAATTGAATTCCTTTCTTAACTAATTTTCTCCATTGAGGAGTTCACCAGACGTGCGTTAGCAACACCCACCTTTGAGCTGACAGACACGGATCTCTCTCTGTCTCTCTCTCTCTCTCTCTCTCTGTCTCTCTCTCTCTCTCTGTCTCTCTCTCTCTCTCTCTCTCTCTCTCTCTCTCTCTGTGTGTGTGTGTGTGTGTGTGTGTGTGTGTGTGTGTGTGTGTGTGTG